ATCAACGGGCTGTGGGTCGAGCTGCCGTTGCTGGTGTCAGTGCTGCCAGAGCAGTGGGACCTTCCCTCCTACATCACCATCATCATCCAGATGGCCAACATGGGGCCGCTCTTCGTCACCCTCATGCACCACTTTCGGCCCGGCTTGCTGAAGGATGTGCCTGTTATTTACGTGGTTGTGTCCATCGGTGTCGTGGCCTGCTTTCTCCTGGCCTTCCTCTGGAACTACACATCCCCCATTGCCGGGAGGACTCACAGCACTGCCTTCCTGGTCCTCACCTTCTTCCTGGCCCTGGTGGACTGCACCTCCTCCGTCACCTTCCTGCCCTTCATGATGCAGCTGCAGCCTCAGTACTTGACCACCTTCTTCATAGGGGAAGGGCTCAGCGGGCTGATCCCCGCTCTCATCACGCTGGGCCAGGGCTCCGGCATCTCCACCTGCGTCAACAACTCCCGCGTGGTCAACATCACCACTGGCAACGAGACCATGGAGACCACCATCTACCAGCTAGAGACACGCTACCTCCCAGCCAACTTCTCCACCCTTGTCTTCTTCCTCTTCATGACTGCGATGATGCTGGCCTGCTTGCTGTCCTTTTTCTTCCTCACCAGGCAGCCGAAAGTGTGGGAACTCTCCCAGCGGCAGCTGTTTCCCAGCAGCATCGTGTTGAGCTCATTTGACCAACTACCTGATGAGGGAGCTGGCTCGCGGCTGAGCGGAGGCTGCCCATGCCCAAAGGATGCTAAGGGGCCTGGTGACATCTTGCCCAAGAAGGTCTCCTACTCCCTGGCCAAGCTCACCTTCATCTACTTCCTCATCACTTGGGTGAGCGCTCTGACAAACGGAGTCCTGCCGTCTGTGCAGTCCTACTCCTGCCTGCCCTATGGCAACACCGCCTACCACCTCGCGGCCACGCTCAGCTCCATGGCCAACCCCCTCGCCTGCATCGTGGCCATGGTCCTGCCCAACAGGTGGGTAGCGGGGCGCTGAGGGCTGCGGCGGGGTGCACCCCGGGGACTTCTGCCCCAGGAACAGCCCATGCTTTGCAATGGGGTCGGGGGAGAAGGCACTGGGTGGGAGAGGGTCTGCAGGGTGCCGGTGCCCTGGCACCAGAGACACCCCCAGAAAGGAGGATGGGGTCGGCACAGAGCCTGTCAGCCTGTGCTGCAGGTCTGTGCCGCTTGCCAGGGCTGAGCTGGCAGCACTCCCTGGTGTCACCCGCATGTCCCTTGCAGGTCCCTGGCCCTGCTGGGCATCCTCACCATGGTGGGGACAGGTTTTGGTGCCTACAACATGGCCATCGCGGTGATGAGCCCCTGCCCGATCCTCCAGCAGTCCCAGTGGGGCGATGCCACCATTGTAAGTCATGGGGTCCCTCTTGCCCGGGGAGGTCTCTGGGGCCACCACAATGTCCCCTGTCCCCACCACAATGTCTCCTGTCCCCACCACAATGTCCCCTGTCCCCACTGTGGGCAACCCCCAAGCCCTGCTGACTGCTCTCCCCACCCTGCGCCACCAGGTCCTCTCCTGGGTGCTCTTCACCGGGACGCTCTCCTACGTGAAGGTGATGGCCGGGGTGATCCTGCGGGGCCGCAGCCACAGTGCACTGGTGTTGTACGGGGTGGTGGAGCAGCTGGGCTCCCTCCTCGGAGCCCTGCTCATGTTCCCCCTCGTCAACATCTACGGCTTCTTCAAATCCGACGACTACTGCAGGCTGCAGTGCCCAGCATGAGTGGCCTGGACAGCCCTTCTTGCCAGCACTCACCCCCAAAAGCAGCAGTGGGACCACGGGGGCTGCAGGCACGTCTCCTCGCTGGGCTCTGCCGGGTCGGTCTCCGGGTGGGAACAGCTCCGTGGCTTTGTCCCCAGCGTGGGCATGGAGTGTCCCTGTTGCGTTCAAAGCAATAGAAGGTGTTTGCTCAGCCCTCGGCCTCCCTTCTGCCTGCGCCCCCCCCGGGGAGGGGCTGCCTGTGCCGATGTCCCCTGCCTGGATACCCCTCGGCTGAGGCCATGTCCTGTCCCTTCCCCTGGGGGGTCTGGCGCCATTTGGCATCATGCCTCAAGGCCACCGCGGGACCCCGCAGGTGGGCACAGCCTCAGCTGAACCAAGCGGCACCGGCGGCGTTCACGGCCCCATGCTGTGGCGGAGGTGGCAGCTGCCCCCAGGACGGTGGGTTTGCCGCCATCTGCGGGGAGTGGGGGACAAAGGTGGCTCAGGCAGAGCTGTGCCGGAGCCTGCCATGCCCTGGCCATGGGGAGAGGGACCACCGGGGGCACACGGGACAGGGGGCTTTCACAAGGGCCTCAATAGCAGCTGGGGAAACTGAGGCACGGTGGGACTGGCAGGACCTGCCCGGTGTTCGGCATCCTCTGCTGTAGCCCTGTCCACACTTTCTGCTCCCTCCCCATAGCCCTGTGCCCCCACTGCACCCCAGTCCAGCCCTGCTGCCCCCCAAGACGGGCAGCACGGGGGGTTGCAGAGACGGAGAGTGGCCACAGCACAGCCCCGTGCCCGGAGCGGTGCTGGGCACAGCGCCGGTTGGGGGGGGTGGCATG